TCTCTCGCTGTCTCTGTCAAATAAATAAAATCTTTTAAAAAAGGGGGGGGGATGAATAAAAACAGATATTGATGGGGTTGAAACAAAAATCTTAATGTAGCATGACTAGAGGTTGGGTGGACATGACAGTTACTGCTGCTCCCCAACATTAAAGGGCCCTAAACAACTCTGCTGTATTTACCACAGTTTAGAGAAATTTTAAAAGCCAGAGGACAAAGACGACAGTGAAAAACCTTACCTGGAATTACCAGGGGTGACTGTCCTATAAATTAATCAAATTGAAGACTGAAGGAGAGGCAAGGGTCTTCTGGCTCAACCCCCAACTGGAGAACCAAGGTAATATGCACTTGTGTGGGTAAAATAGCCAGGGAGTGGATAAGAGACATTTCTGGGACTCCTTAACATGACAGCCCAGTGCACTATAATTCTAAAATCTGTTGGAAGTCCTAATGGGGAGCTACAGTTAGATTGGGAGGAGAAGCAATAGTTAACAGGATTAAGGTAAAAATTTGGATGAAAGTTGGAATGTCAGAACAGGCTTTCTGTGGAGTGGTAACATCTCCTCTACGTGACTGTATTATTGGGATGGATATTTTGTCTGACTGGTACTATAAAACAGAAGGGGGCGCCTGGGTGGCTCAGTTGGTTAAGCGACTGCCTTCGGCTCAGGTCATGATCCTGGAGTCCTGGGATCGAGTCCCACATCGGGCTCCCTGCTCAGCAGGGAGTCTGATTCTCCCTCTGACCCTCTTCCCTCTCGTGCTATCTCTCATTCTCTCTCTCTCAAATAAAAAAAAAAAAAAAACAGAAGGCATATAAATAAATTCACCTTAAGGCCAGTCTTGATTAGACATGCTAAAATGAGAACTATTGACTGTCTGAGCCCATTAATTTGAGACAGAATTCTGAATAATAATGTATATGTGGTCTGTGAAAAAATGTTTATGTAGCCTGTGAAAAAACTGGATGGCTCATCAAGCCCTAACAGTAGACTACAAAGCTTGAATAAAGTAGTGCCCCCATAACATCGGCAGTCCCTGATATGATTTCAATAGTTGAAAAATATACATAGCAGGCTAAAAGAGAATGATAGTAACTGACCCTGC